CACACACACACACACACACACACACACACACACACACACACACACACACATTTTATCCAGAAATAATCACTTCCAGCACTACCACTTGGCTAAGATCAGATTCACAACTTGAGTTCATGTTGCCAACTAAGAACTGATGTTTGTTGTTTTCAGCCTTTAAGTGGGGTCTTGGATGAAAGTTTGGTAGTTACACAAACTGTTCTGCATCTYTGTGCTCATGTGACAAGGCCAGAATTGGCAAGAAATGTTCATTAGCAGAATTTGGAGCTGCATACGTGCAGCTGCGTATTTGCAACTAAAAATCATTTTATAATAACATAAATATATCTATAAATATAAATATATCTTCAACTCTGGTTTTTGGTCTAATCTTAAAACACATTTGTACTCACAGCATGAAAATTGACATTTTTGCATTAATTTAATGGTTTCATTTTTGTCTTGTAACTTTGAACATTTTATTTTTGTTTTATGGTATCTTGTGATTGACGTTATCTTTTTTAAAATTATTTGTTGTTTTCCATGCAGCACTTTGGCCAGCAGATGTTGTTTTTAAATGTGATATTAATTCGATTTGATTTAATTGGATTTGACAAATGTTAAGAATAATCATAAGTTTAATTCTGAGAAAACAGTAAATTGCCAATGAGACATAGGTGATCTTCATTCACTGTTTTGATTGTCTGATAACACTTGGGTATTAAGCTCAGTGAAGGTCATAGATGCAAAGAAAATTTGAGATTGTAATAAATCACTCTCTCAGTTAAGGAAACAGAATGCATTAATGTACAGGTCATTCTCTCAGTTTAGTAAACTGAATGCACACATCTGTAAAAAGCTGATGTCTGGATGCAGCAGGTGTTGTTTTTGTTATGCTTTTAGTGTGGGAGAAGAAACAGATGGAAACACATCTTAAGAGGTGAGATTATATCAGGTTGTCTTCTAGAACAGCAACACAGTTGTTGTTTCCCCATTAATCATTATTTCTGTCATTTCAACAGTTCAACTAGAATACATTGAAATGATCCTTTTCTTGTGCATCTTTTCAGTTCCTAAACAGTTCAGAGTTTGACTTGCTTTGCTTAAAACTGTCAGTTTTCCTGCAGTTGACAGGAAGTGATGTTTGTAGTTTTATAGGTTTCATAAATGTTTAAAAGGCAAATGTGTTCAGCTATTTGTAATGTTACTGATGTCAAAGATGATGATGCTTGTTGGTAAATCAGTGTCCGCAGATTAATTAAACTGAGAGGATGTATTTTGAATCTGTGTGGACGATTTAATAAACCGAGGGAACAGATTTTTATCCCTTCCATTATACCACAACTTCTGTCTTTTAATAGATATTTCAGACTTGCCAGCTTTAAATCAAACCTCTGCTATGCCAATCACTAATCTGCATGTGGACCAAAAGTCCTCCAGATGTTATGATTGGTGTCTTTGTTAATGTTTTGTTCCAGTTTTCTGTCTTGTCATGTTTTCTTCCTCCTGTCTGCCTGTGCTCCAGCCCCGCCCACTCACACCTGATCTTCATGTTTCTTCCCCAGGTGTTTCTTGTTTTAGCTCATTAGTTTTCCCTTTATATTCTGTTCAGTGTCTTCAGTGCTTGTCAGATCRTTGTTTACTGTTTGATGTTCATGTTCCTGTCCAAAGCCCTTGTTCTTGTTTGCTGCCACGTCAGCACCTTTGTTTTAATAAATCACTTTTTTGCCACCTCACTCAGTTCTGCATATTGGGGTTCAAACCAACATAACACCAGATGGATCTTAATGCTGCACATTGCATGTTTGTGAATGCATGAACAAAAATAAGCAGAGACACACTTTGGTGTAACCTTTATTAGACGAGCTCTTACAGAACTACTGAGGCCGTGTACCCTCAGTTCAAAATATCTTCTTATAGAACATACACTGAGAATAATAGCACCACAGATTAAAAACAACAGTTCAGTAATTCTCTGAGCCACTGCTGACAACAAATCAGGTGAATCTGAGTTATGTTGGCTCACAAGTTCTTTTTGATCTTTTAATCACGATGGATATTTTACTAAATTAATGATGGAAGGTAAATAACTAACTGTGTGTTATTGTGTGTCTCCATGTTTGGGTGAAGCTACAGGCTTCTGCCGTTGTTACTCTGGGATTTTACCCCCCAAAAAATCCATATATGGAACTGCACATACATGGTCATGATGTACACACACACATGCACACACAGTAGATATCCACACAGACTCACACATGTTGAGTCCAGCTGTTTTCACTGGCATCAGGTGAAATATTAGTTTTTCTTACTTCAAAGTCAGCCTCATCCTYTTTTCTCTGCTGTGTTGGTGATCTACTAGAGCTTTGAAATGATGTTGGCTGTGAGTATTAATCAAATCAGTAACACATTGTCATTTTTCCTGTCATTCTCTTTTTTTCAACGTGCTCCAAGCTGACAAACACTAAAGTGAAAAACCAGCGAAAGAGCCGGCTTTCTGTTCATACWAGTGCAGGGACAAGAGCATGTTTCTGAGGTTTTTTCATTTCATTCAAACAAACTTATTTAGCATTATTGTAACACAACCCACCTGACACCATGTTAAAGAGTGGTAAGAGCTATAAAATGATCCACATTAAAAGAAAAACAGCAGTAACTCTGGTCCTGGAGGGAGGAAGATGTGAAGCTTTGGGAAGTTTCCCTCAGCCCTGACTGGTTAAATGAAGAACTGTGGAGCACCTGAGAGGAAATCAATCCAGATGAAAATTGAAACATCTTTTTTAATGTCACCATTACTAAAGACTCTCCAGGCTTAAAGTTTGCTGCTTTGAAGTTTTACTGTTTTACTCTAAATTGGACTACAAAAGCAAATAAGTTTACCATCAAACAGTAAGTAAAAGAAGCTGATTTTGATGAGCAGATTCAGGGATGTAGTGAATGGAATCTGAGATGTTCTGCCTTAGTGGATCAATTTAAAGTAAAAATATTTACATTTATCTGACGCACAATCTTTGGTAACTTTGTGACATTTCCTATTTCTTCGTCAGACGTACTTGAAAATGGTGTAAATGAGTGAGACTGAATACTTCTATTGGAACTAAAAAACTAAAACATGTTGGTCCTTTTTGTTGGCGCTTAGGGCAAAGAGACCCTGCGGGTGACGGTTTGGTAGAAGACCCCGCGGAGCAGAGAGGGGTAGTCCGGGATGCGGAACAGGTGGCGCTGAGCGTAGGAGATGTCGCCCTGCCGCCCCCTGCTCACCAGCATGCTGAGGTTGGCCTCGCTGACCTGGCTGCCCGCTGAGATGACAAAGACCTCGATGCCGGCGTCTGCCAGCTCACGCACCCGCTTCTCCAGGAGAGCCTGGGTGACTCTCTGAGAGCGGCCGTCAGAAAAGAGCACCACCTTTTTCCGGCCACTGGAGGACGCATCCCCACGACCACGGAAAGCGGTGGCGGCGAATCCGAGGGCCTCTAGAACGTCGGTGCCGTCGTTTTGGAAGCTTGCTTCCTCGAGTTTAGAAGAGATCAAGGTCAGGTTGTTAGTCAGCGCCTGCTCCATGATGGCGTTGCGGCTGTACTGGGCCACGCCCACTCTGACGTTGACGCGTCTCTTTCTCTCGGCTGTGAGGAAACGTTCGGCCAGGCGTCGGACAAAGGTCTTGCTTATCTCGAAGTTCTTCTGGCCCACACTGGCTGAACTGTCCATCATCATCAAAATGTCGGTGGGTTCGGAGAAAGTGACTGTGCAAAAACAAGCAACAACTGGTCACAAAACATCTGATTAAAGATTTTCTACTGAATCACAGCTGTTAAAGTAGAAGCAGTTAAACAATGACTTAAACTTTAAAAGCTAAGTGGCTAATGTTTATATTTCAGTCCGCTTTCAAGCAAAAATGTGAGAATTTTATTAGAAATGCTACTAATGCAATTATTGAAAAAGCACACTTACTTGGACATTTGTAGTCTGGGCATTTCTTCTCTGCAAGGATCAAAGCAAAATTGTTAAAGAAATATGAAATTGTTGAATTTGTATTTGTATGAGTTACTGTTTGAGGAGTTGAATATTTTGTTTTGTTTTATTATTGTTTGAAATTATTATATATTTTTTGCAAATAGGAGCAGATATAAGATTTTTGTCTTCTGATGCCTTTCATTTTATTTGATTTGTATTTTTTTGTTGTATGTAATGTGTTTTGTTTTTTAAAATGAAATGAATAAATACTGTAATAATAAAAAATAGTAAAAAAGGAAAAAATAAAGAAGATAAGTCCACTCAACTGGACTCTGTGTAAAATGTCCAACATGCGTTTGATTAGCTGCTTTATACCTTGGCAGATCTTGGCTGTGAGATTCCGGAGGAAATTATCATCCAGCAGCTCAGCAAAGTTCTCCAGGACGAAAGAAAATCCCGGTTTGCTGTCAGCCTCACACGTTACAGACTGGAGCTGCTCCTGGTTGGGCTCCCGGCCTGAGTAGTCCTTAACTCCTAAACCCCCCACCTGGAGGCGAGGCAGGAGATTTTCAGATTAGCAGATAAAGTTTAGTGTGAAATTACAATAGACAGGGTTCCTACAGTTTAAGGCAAGTTAAATTTAAGACTTTTTAAGAATTTTTAATGCCAAGTGAAATCAAATTTAAGACTAATTTAAAAAAAAAAACACCAATGACTAAAAAAATTAAAACTGTGGTAGAAACTCATAAATGAAGTATTTTTGGTTGAATTATTCAAATATTGCTAACAGACCAATTGTTTTTATCCACATTTAACTGCTATTTTGTCAAATAAAAACATTCTTAGCAGTCAGTTTTAAACTTCATTTAATTCTCTAACGACCCAAAATTTGGAGTTTTAGGACCCACAGTTGGGTCTCAACCCCGGCTTGCTGTAGATGAAACCTTAAATTGCCTGTGACATCAAATGTTTGTAAGAAATATGACATTATTAACATATTAGAAAACAAATTTCACATTGCTCAGATGGACAGATGTTGAGATATTTGCATGTGAAGTAACAGGAAGTGGTGTCAAAAGGGAACATCTGAACGGGAATATTTAAAAAAAATAAATGTTACCAATTATTTTAATATTTGATACAAATTAGTCATCCTACTTACAATGTGTTAACATTTTTAAGACTTCTAAAGATTGATTTAAGACCTTTTAAGGCTAATTAAGACCTTAATTTGGGTTGATGAGTTCAATGCCTTTTAAGACTTTTTTAAGGATCTGCGGGAACCCTGAATAGAGGGTTGTAAAGGTATTCAGTGTGTYGCACAAGACAACATAAAGGCCACACAGGTCAGTGACAATGTTGTGGAGGAGAACACATTTGGATTTTAAATATAATAACGGAAAACCTGAACATCCCACAGAGCATCATTAAATCCATTATTAGAAAGTAAACAATGATGTCATCACACTAAGCCTGACAAAAAACGGGCATCTACCTAAACTCACAAACCAGGTAAGGAGAACGTCGATCAAAGAAACATCCAAGAGGCCAAAAATATCCCTGATGGAGCTGAGAAGCTCTTCTGCAGAGATGGACGGATCTGTTCATAGGACCATTAAAAACTGCGCAGAGCTGGGCCTCATGGAAGAGTGGCCAGAAAAAACAAAAACAAAACTAAGCAAAACATTAAAAAAAAGAGAAAAAAAACGAAGAAATACTATTTGTAGAAGGTACTGTGGTCAGATGAAACAATTTTTTTTATTTGTTGGCCACTGAAATGAAAGTAGAAGGTAAGATGAAGCAAAATGGAGATACATTCTTGAGAGTTATTCCATCTTGCAGAGATTTGAAAATGCCCCCTTCCAGCAGGACGAGGACCATGTCCTGGTATGGCCCAGTACAAACCCAGACCTCAATAAAACCGAAAATCTCATTGAAAAAATTTCTGGACTCAAACAGCAACTAACCAACCTGATGGAGCTGGAGCAGCCTGGTCATGAAGAACAAAAATTCACGTGGTTATTTGGACCACAATCCTGGAGATGAACCTAAAAAAACGTCTTGATGCTGAAACTACTGCAAAAAGTGGTGGCTAGAATTATTCAAAACTTTTTCCCCTTGTTGKACTTGACCTGATGTCTGTTTGTAGGTTCATTGCCAACAATCAAAATAAAAATCAAAGACAGCGATAACTCATTTGCTTAAAGCCTTTACAGTTCTGTACAGTGAGCATGTGCTGCACTCACCACGAGGTCTTTCCCACAGAGCGTACTGAGGGACACTTTGTCTCTCTTAATATCAGAGCGTCCATCGGTGAGAACGAGAACAACTTTGTTGTCTTTCCTCATGTCCTTTAGTGTTGCGGTCAGAGCGAATTCGAGGGCCTCGCCTGTATAAGTGGCCTCAGCCAGCCAGCGCATGTCTCTCACTGCCCTGCACACACACAGAAATAAAACAAACACACAATACAAGACAAATATGAGGAACTGTGGCCTCTAAGGTCTGGGGTCTAAATGGCCATTTTGGCTAATTTTGAATTTCCCCTTTTATTTTCATCTTAAAAACTATTTACATTGCCTTGTTTGGTATCATTTTCAGCACAACCAAAATGTTGACGAAGCTCCATTCTCCTGTCTTCTAAACACACTCTCATGCTCTCCACAAGCGTACAGACAAACTGTTTTTATTGGTTGCTTTGGAAATGTGGTTCYTTTCAGGAAAACAGAAAAATGGYTGTCATGTTGCATTCAAGCACTTGCTGGTCACAAAATGTTCACTGAACGCACAGCAAAAAATGCTCACAAAATTATGGCGAAAATAATTTATAATAAATCTGCTTTTATTTGGAAGTAAATAAAAATAAAAACAATCTTAAAAAAGACTTTTTATAGAGTTTGAAGTCCGTGCTGTCCAACCCAGTTGAAATGAGCACTCAACATGCTGCCGTTTATGTCGCATTAACCATTAAATGTGTCGTGTCGATGCCCGCGCTGGAGCGGGCTTGGACCTTGGAGGGTTAATAAACAAAGTGAAAATCTTTCTATGAACAAAAATAAAAAAATTGTATAGGTCTTCTGGACGGGTTCTTCTCTAATGAAACGTTTCGTCTCTCCTCCAAGAGACTTCTTCAGTCTGAGAGTTTCAGGCAAAATTCAGGCTTTTAAGCCCTGCCTCCATGTGACTGATACTCACATCACATGGCTATCGTTGACACCTAATTAACACCTATTGTTAACAGGGGGTGGAGTGATACTGGCAATAGCCGCACTGTAGGAGGGGGACAACTGAAAACGGAGGCCTCCACCTCTGTTTAATGATGGACGGTCTTTCTTCACAAAAATGGCTTCTTTTACTCCTCTCTCAAACCAACGTTCCTCTCTATCAAGAATGAGAACATCCTCATCTCTGAAAGAGTGACCGCTGGCCTGTAAATGAGTGAAAACTGCAGAGTTCTGGCCATTAGAGGTAGCTCTAACGCATCAGGACCTATGAACAAAACTGATGTAAACAGTAAATCTGCTGAAAAGGATTCCTTTAGATCTTAGTTTACAGACTCACGAGACTTTTCAGATGTTTTATTGGTTTTGTACTGATTTTACACTAAGTAAGCTAAAAAAAGGCCTCACTTTGAAGTGAGTAAATAAAGGTACTGCAGTCTTTGAAGGAATGCATATCGCCCACTGCAAAACTTTAATGCATTCATAATACTTGAGCTGTGAATTTTGGAGGTATAGATGTTTTGATGTGCAGTCTCATCTCACATGAGCTCAGATGATGTATTAGTGTTTAGAGTATGTGTTGTGAATGACTCTCAGCTACTACCACACCAACTTTTAGCTCCATATTTGAAGAGTTCCCTGAAGTATAGTATTTTTTCTGTGGGCTAAGTTTGAATAGCTGCAGTGGCCAGAAACGAGTTATTCCAAAAGTTAAATCATTGCAGATATAAAAATATTATATATGATATATTAATATTAATATGATATTAAATTAGCAATACGACGCCACGCCAGCAGGCAGCCGTAGTAGCAGCTCAGCAAGAACTCAGTTTTTTTAGATTTAGTCTATTTTTGTATTTTCTATGCTGTCTATTTTTATTATTATTGTATATTCCTACGTTTTTGCTCACAACGGCGCTGACTTTTTCTTGGAGACGCTGTTTTGATTCTCTCTTCTTTTGGTTTCCGTGTCGGGAAACAGAGTAAGCGACCACGCTCACTCTCCTACCACTCACGCTCACATTYTTTACAGCCGTGAACAGCTGCTCTCCATAAGGAACTCTGCTGTAGCTCCTCCTGAACGACCCGATGTCCCCCGCGAACTGAGAAGGAAGGGACGCGGAAGGCATCGGGCGTCGCAACACAGACAGAAGGAGACAAAGACCTGCCATCCTGTCCGTCATCATGGGAAATGTGAGGTCGCGTTCTAACAAACAAGACGAACTAGCGTCGCTAGCGCGACATCAACAGAACTACCGAGAGGCCAGCCTCATGTGCCTGCTGGAGACGTAGCTAACACRGCTAACTCCCGACTCACACATAAACATTGACGGCTTTCATTCAATTTGTGCCGACAGAACCAGGGAGAGTGGTAAGAAGAGGGGAGGGGGTCTGGTTGTGTTTGTGAATGAGAGATGGTGTAATGCTGGACATGTAACTATCAAAAAAACACTGCAGTAAGGACATTGAACTGTTAGCCGTTAGCAAGAGGCCGTACTTTCTCATAAGGGAATTTTTTCTACCTGAATTTCCCCGTGCAGGACAATAAAGGCTGCTTCTATTCTATTCAATTCAATTCTATTCTATTCTATTCTTTTCTATTCTATTCTATTCTATTCTATATGCAGTCAGTTACTTTCCAAGCGGTTCATTAAAATGACTTCAGTGGTTCTTGAGATGCACACACAGAAGCACAAGTATAATCGTCTGCTTTCACCTTGTATTGGTGAAGAACAATAACAAGGTAACACAGTTAGACAGACAAGCACGACTCTTGTTGAATGTTTGTGAACTCACTGTTTAAAGTCGCTGAGGTTACTGGTAAGTTTCACAACTTCCTGGGCTTGTGATCCACTGTACTGGACGACACTCACTGAGGACTGGTTCGCTGCAAACTGAGAAGAAAAACACAGCGGGGTGAGTTTACATTTTGGTCTGTGTGTCACGTTCAGGAGCAGGGTTTTCTCTGCCAACATTTCTGCGTCCCACCCCGTTGTGAGTAACTACAACCAAACTGGAAGAGGAGAGTCACTGGAGAGGCGCAGCCCAAAACTGAAGACAGCATTTTTAATTCACACTTTTCTATTTTGAGGTTTGATCTTGAGGCAAGTGTTTGGTAACACCTCAGAAAAAAACAGTCCCGGTGGAATTTTATAAAAACACTCCTCAAAAGGTCAAATAACTGTCATCCCACAGAGGCTGTGCAAGTATGAACGCAATGTGTTCAAAATGTCACAACAGTATAAACTCCAGAGAGACGTTACCTTGACTTGGTGGTTTTTAATCAGCCTGTCAATAACTGTGACGATGAAGTCTTTGGCGAGGGCAAAGTTTGTGGCACCGATACTTTCTGAGCTGTCCACGATAAATGCCAAGTCCACAGGTGCACACTTGCACTCTGAAAACACAAAACACACACACACACACACACACACACACACACACACA